AGTCGTAGGAGTAGTAGTAGTCACAGATCGTTGTCTCGGCGGTTGATTTTGTGATGGACCAATGTCGGATTCGTTACACATCGCAGCTTCGGCGGTCATTTTTGTGAACGAGCGAGGTCGGATCCCTCACAACTCAACGTCAAAGCAGTTCATTTTGCGAAGGATCCTCCAGGCGGGGTCAATAACAACTCACCCTTTGCGTTTTCAACCCAAGCCAAACATGATGACGACAATGATGCCGACGTCGACGATTATGATGACGAGGATGATGGTGATGAGCATGAATATCAAGATAATGATGATGATGATTATGCTTATGATGATGATGGTGATTATGCTGCTATTGCTTATTATGATGATGTCGAGTGTGCCGATTATGATGAGGGTGACGATGATATTGATAATGCTGCTGGTAATGACAACGATGAAGATGACCACGATGATGATGGTGATGATAAGAATGACGACGACAATGACGACGACGTCGAAGACGACGACGGTGATGATGATGCTGATGATGACGATGATGATGATGATGACGATGATGCTGATGATGATGCTAATGATTATGATGATGATGATGATGATGATGATGATGATGTTGATGATGATGATGATGATGATGATGATGATGATGCTGATGGTGCTGCTGATGACGATGACGATAATGAAGATGATGCTGATGATGGTGATGATGATGATGATGATGATGGTGATGATGATGATGATGATGATGATGCTGATGATGATGATGATGATGATGATGATGATGATGATGATGATGATGATGATGATGATGATGCTGATGATGATGCCGATTATTCCCACAGCGACGACGACGATGATGATGGCAATGCCGGTGCGGACGATGATGCTGGTGGCGATGCGGAGGATGAGACGGCGGAGGAATAGGAAGGCGAACAAGGCTGTCACATTTGACGCATTTTCGTCCCCAGTTTTGAGGAGCTCCAGTGTAGCTCATTTGGTCCGCACTGGAGCTGTCTAGGACTCCTGTGAGGCTGTATCGGGATTTTCTCGGAATCGTCTTGGGACCCTCGTGGGCCGTCTCATGGGTTCTCCTAGGCAGTCTTGGGGCCCTCTTGGCCGTCTGTAGGGTCGCGTGGGGCCGTCTTGGGTCATCGAGGGGTCCTCTGAGGCCGTCTTGGATCCGTCTAGAAGACCTCTGGGACAAACTTGGGTCTCTCTTGGGGTCGTCCTGGGCCGTCTGGGGGGCCTTCTGGCCGTTCTGAGGCCGTCTTGGAGGCCTCTTGGGTCGTTTTGGGGTCCTCTTTGGCGGTCACGTCGTCGTTGTCGTCGCCGTCGCAAGGATGAGGAGACGTGGGAGGAGTAGGATAGAAGTTGAGTAAGGGGGAGGACGAGGGAGGGGAGCGAAGGAGGAGAGATGGAGAAGGGTGAGGAGGAATAGTATGAGCATGGTGATGACGCTGATAAACTGATAAGGCGGAGGGACATGAGGAGGAGCATAGGAAGAGGAGGGGGATGATTATTGAGGAGGACGCTGCCCTCTACCCAGGGGCAGGGGGCAGCGTCGCGGTTAGAGAGGTGAGGTCATGGTTCGTCGTCGTCCTCGTCGTCGTCGTCGTCGTCGTCGTTGTCGCCGTTGTCGTCGTTGTCGTCCCCGTCGAAATCGTCGTCGTCGTCGTGGTCGTCGTCGTCGTCGTGGTCGTCGTCGTCGTCGTCGTCTCCTCGTCTTCTCGTCTTCTCGTCGTCGTCGTCGTCGTCGTCGTCGTCGATGTCGTCGTCGTCGTCGTCGTCGTCGTCGCCGTCGCCGTCGTCGTCGTCGTCGTCGTCGTCGTCGTCGTCGTCGTCGTCGTCGTCGTCGTCTCGTCGGCGCAGCCTTGTAGTCGTCGTCCCCTGGAAGGTTTCGTCGCGAGTCCTCTTGGGCCGTCCTGGGGGCCTCTTTGACCGTCATGTTGCCTTCTTGGTGCCCACTTGGCGGCCTCCTGGGCAATTTGGGAGCCCTCGTGGGGGCCTGTTAGGCCGTTCTGGAGCGTCGAGGAGCCGAGTAAGCGAGCACTCCAAACTCCTTTCAAAACCAGTGGACCATTGAGGAATCTTTCCACCTGGCGCCCTCTTGGGAGCGCCGTCGGAGGCCTCTAGGGGTGCCTTGGACGCGTCTTGGGCCGCCTGAAGGCCATCTTGGGCGTCTCGGAGCGATGTTTCGTCCGCTCGACTCGGGACTCTCTTGAGGCCCTTTGCACTCTTTCTGGGGCCTTCTTATCTTCGAAACGTCACGTGAGACCACGTGCCGGGGCCCGTGAACATTATCCTGGCGAAGGGCCCAACCATAAGCAATTGTTCGTCACGCGTTGTGGGCGCCGCTTTCGGTGGGGCTCCCTATGGGGCCGCGAAACAGTGCCTTGGGTGGGGGAACCGCATGCGAACAGCGCCACTGGGGCGGGCCTTCGGTGGAGCTCCCCATGGGGCCACGAAGCGCTGCCCTGGGCGGGGGAACCGCATGCGAACTGCGCCACTGGGGCCTTCGGTGGAGCTCCCCATGGGGCCACGAAGTGCTGCCCTGGGTGGGGGAACCGCATGCGAGAGCAGCCACTGGGGCCTTCGGTGGAGCTCCCCATGGGGCCACGAAACGCTGCCCTGGGTGGGGGAACCGCATGCGAGAGCAGCCACTGGGGCCTTCGGTGCTCCCTTTGGGGCCACGAAGCGCTGCCCTGGGTGGGGGAACCGCATTTCCGAGAGCAGCCCGGGACCTGTCGGGTGGAGCTCCCTATGGGCCACGAAGCGCTGCCCTGGGTGGGGAGACCGTCAGTGCGGTGGCAGCGTGACATGGGGCCGTTCGGTGGAGCTTCCCATGGGGCCACGAAGCTCTTGTCCACTGTGGGGAACCGCATGCGAGAGCAGCCACTGGGGCCTTCGGTGGAGCTTCCCATGGGGCCACGAAGCGCTGCCCTGGGTGGGGGAACCGCATACGAGAGCAGCCACTGGGACCTTCGGTGGAGCTCCCTATGGGGCCACGAAGCGCTGCCCTGGGTGGGGGAGCCGCATGCGAGAGCAGCCACTGGGACCTTCGGTGGAGCTCCCCATGGGGTCTCACCCTGGTCCTTCCCCTGGGTGGGGGCGGTGGTGCAATGCGAGAGCAGCCACTGGGGCCTTCGGTGGAGCTCCCTATTGGGCCACGAAACGCTGCCCTGGGTGGGGGAACCGCATGCGAACACCCCCACTGGGGCCTTCGGTGCAGCTCCCTATGGGGCCACGAAGCGCTGCCCTGGGTGGGGGCACCGCCTGCGAGAGCAGCCACTGGGGCCTTCGGCGGAGCTGCATGTGGGGCCACGAAACGCTGCCCTGGGTGGGGAAACCGCATGCGAAAGCAGCCACTATGGGGCCTTCGGTGGAGCCCCCTATGGGCCCACGAAGCGCTGCCCTGGATAGGGGGAACCGCATGCGAACACCCCCACTGGGGCCGTTCGGTGAGCTCCCCCATGGAGCAACGAAACGTGCTGCCCTGGGGTGGGGTACCGCATGCGAGGCAAAACCACTGGTCCATTCGGTGTGAGCTCCTATGGGGCCAGGAAGCGTGTGAGAGGTGTGCCGAGAGCAGAGGCAAGGGGGGGGCGGGGGGAGGGAGAAGCGGGAGGAGGAAGGAACGCGGGGCGCTGTCTCTTCAAAACGAGGACCGAACACCACAGGATGGTTGGGGAAAACGCAGGGGCCCGAGGAAGTTTAGGAATATGGGGCCGGGGCCCCTTGAATACTAAATCTTGAGAGGATTGAGGACTGAGGGCTACAAGGGGCCTGAAGACACTCCAACTCGTGCATCGCGGCACGATGGCGGTTGTGGAGCAGGAGAAAAGAGCGGGAGCAGCAGCAGCAGCAGCAACAATAGCAGGTACAGCAGGAACACGGGCAGGAGCACGGGCAGGAGCACGAGCAGGAGCGTGAGCAGGAACAGGAGCAGGAGGGGGAAGGGGAATGGGGGGAGCAGGAGCAGGAGCGGAGCGGACGCAAGCGCAGGAGCACGAGGAAGAGGAGGAACGAGGAGGAATAGGACAGAATCAGAGGTGGAGGAGGAGGAAACAGGAACAAGGAACAATGAAGGGGAAAATGAAGAGGGGGAGCATGATGATGAGACAATGGGAGAGGACTGATGATGAAGAGGAAGAGGAGAGTGACGACGACCACGACGACGACGACGGCGGCGGCGGCGACGACGGGAAGGAAAAGGAGAAGGAAGAAAAGACATGGAACGACAGAGGCGTCCTTGTGTGCCAGACTATGAATGTTGCTGAAGCCCGAATGGAGAGAACAACCGTTACCTCCATCTTCTCCCTCCCCCCTCCCTGCCTCTCCCTCCCTCCCCCTCCCCCTCTCCCCCTGCCCCCTCCCTCCCTCTTCTCCCTCTCCCCCGTGTCCCTCTTCTCCTCCCGTCCCCCTCCCCCTCTCCCTGCCTCCCCTCCCTCAGCTCCCCCTCCGCCGCGGCTCCCCACGTGAGCCAGGTCCTCCCCCAGTGGGTCTTGGCCGCCGACCGAGTCGTGGAGCCATCGGCCCCGCGGGGCTCCCGTTCCCCCCTCTGGCCACCGGGCGGGGGCAGGGGCGCCATGAACCTCGGAGGCGCGCCCGGTGATGGCCGCTCGGAGAGGGGAGGAGAAGGAGGAGGAGGAGGAGGAGGAGGAGGAGGAGGAGGAGGAGGAGGAGGAGGAAGGGAGAGGGGGGAGGAGGAGGAGGATGCGGAGGAGGAGAGGAGGGAGGAGGCTGGACGTATGCGTGAGGAGGAGGAGGAGGAGGAGGAGGAGGAGGGGGACGACGACTCGTCGACGAGTCGACGACGACGATCGCCGCAGACGCCCCACGCCTCGGAGGCGTCGTCCCTCCCGGGCGGTGCGGGGGAAGACAACGCGCGAGGGTCAGGGCAAGGGAGAGGGGCGAAGGCGGGGAGGGGGAGGGGAGGGGGAGTCAGGGGCAGCGTTTCTAGGGTCGGAGGGGTCGGAGGATCGGAGGAGGAGGAGGCTCTGCTGCGCCCGATGGGGTTCGGGCGAGGATCAGCGGGCGAGGATCGGGCAGCGCTTCTAGGCCTCCCAGATGGGGTCGGAGGATCGCGCCGCATCGCCGATGCATCGGCGATGCGGCTCGATGTGGAGCCCGTGTTTCCCCACGCCGACGTCGCCGATGCATCGCTGATGCATTGGCGATGCTGCGCGATCCTTCGACCCCATCAACTCGGACCCCATCGAGGAGGCTTCTAGCGTTATGTTCCGAGTTTCGAGGTGTTCGGGCGTTTCCGTCGGAGCTCGGCAATTTTCGCAGATTTTGTGTTTCGAGGGGCTCGGTTTTGTTCAATGCGATTTTCTTGGGCTTCCATTTTTGGTTTTGGAGGGGCTCGGCTTTTTCAGTGAGATTTTCTTGGGCCCTGTAGGAGTCCCTCGGAATCATCGGAATCCATAGGCCCAATGGGAATCCATAGGCGTCTATGGGAATGCCTTAGGCCAGTTTTTCGTCCTGAGTCCATTGCTGACGGCCCCGGGGCCAGGAAACGGCCTGCTGAGGCCAGAGCAGTCGAACGCGCGTCCGTTGTAACTTTTGGCGTCGCCAGGCTTTGAGGGTCCGCCGCTCAGGACGCGTGCCCCGGGACCTCAGGGAGCGGCGGCTGCGTTGTATATGTTTTCTTTGTTTCTTTTATTATTGTCATTATGCTTATTGTCGCTTGTTTCCTATTGATAATATTATTATTGTGCTTATGATTGTCCTTCTTCTTCGTCTTTTTCTTCTCCGTCCCTCCCTCATTCCGCCTACTTGGTCCAGACTTCTTGACCACTTCCCTAGGGAACCCAGTCGCCTCGCCTCCGGGGCCGGGTCCGTCCTGCAGTGCTGGTGTGGAGATGTTGGCCTTGTTGCAAGGGCTTTCTTCTCAAGTATGGTGGAGTGGAGAGTTCCCTCCCGCCCTCCCTCCGTCCCTCTTTCGCCTCCGGGGCCGGGTCCGTCCTGCAGCGGGGGCCTCACAGCCAAGGTGGGTTTTTGTGTGCTGCATCCTAAGTGGGGACGTTGTTTTCTCTGGACACCCCGCGCAGGAACACCCACCCGCATCCCATCATGATCTTTTCACCGATCACCGATCATCATCATCATCATCATCATCATCATCATCATCATCATCATCATCATCATCATCATCATCATCATCATCATCATCATCATCATCATCATCATCATCATCAGCGTCATTATCATCATGATCATCATGATCATCACCCTCCTGACCACCATCATCATCGTCATCATCAGCAGCATCATGGTGATGCTCATCAACACTATCATCATCATCATCATCATCATGATCGCACAGACTCTCACATCGCATTCACGCACACACGCACTCACACACTCACACACTCACACATTTACGTTCACCCGTTGCCACTGTCGCGCATTCACACATTCACAAATACGCACATTCTCACATTCACACATTCACGCATTCACGCATTCACGCTTGTACACCTTCACTCATGCGCACATTCACACACTCCCACATCCACAAAATCACACATTCACACATTCACGCATTCACACATCCACGCATTCACACATTCGCGCATTCACACATCCACACGCTCACACATTCACACATGCACACACACACATTCACACAGTCACACAGTCACGCATTCACACATTCAGACATTCACACACTCGCTCATTCACACTTTCACACATTCACGCATTCACACATTCACACATGCACACATTCACAAATTCACACGTTCACACATTCACACATTCACACGTTCACGTACACCCATTCACACATTCACACATTTCCTCATTCACATATTCACACATTCACACGTTCACACGTTCACGCATTTACACAGTCACACGTTAACGCATTCTTACACTCAAACATTCATACATTCGCGCATTCACACGTTCATGCATTCACATATTAGCACATACGCGCATTCACACATTCACGCATTCACGCGTTTACACATTCACACATTCACACTTTGACGCATTCACGCATTCACGCATTCACGCATGCACACATTCGCACATCACGCATTCATTTACGTTTCCAGAGTACGTTAATCAATGTGATTATGATCGTCACCATGATTATGCATATGTTGATGGTGGGGAATGTGAGGATGAGGAAAAGGTTATGTTTGTGTCTCCTCAGCCTCTCGCGGGGGTTGGATCCCTGAGAGTTTTACATTCGTCTGTAGATTGTTGGTGTTGATCTGCTCCAGGCCCACCGCGGGGCGCCCACGTGGGCCAGGTCCAGCTCAATGCCCATGTGGTCCTTCGCCTGTTCATCGGATTCGCTTTTCTGGGGGACAGAATAAAGGTCAGCTCCAGTCCTTGGATTTTCCTGCACTGGGCCGCCCATGCCTCAAACGCCCGTGTTGCTCGATGTGTCCTTATCTCCCGCCCGGGCTATGATTTTGTTCCGGATCTCTTTTGCTGAGAGTGCCCTTCGCTGGCTCCTACCCCAGGAAGTCATTATGTCGGGCATGTCACCCTACAGGAGGATTTTGGAAATATGATTTTGCCTCAAAAAACCCGAAACGGAAAAACATAGTCGGAATAGCGTCCCCAGACTATTCTTTGACTATTTTCGAATATTCCTCCTGTAGAGGGAGGCCATCTGACGACAACGCACCAGAGGATTCATTAATCAAGCATGGCCGCGAGGACAAGGTTGACCAAGACAAGGGCGACCGACTGATTCCACTGCCCCTCCCAATGCCCACTTCCCTCTGTCTTCCCACCCCCACCTCCACTGCCTCACCGGCGCCAGCACCAACGTCGGCACCTTCGCCAGCGCTGACGCCAGCACTGACGCCAGCATCAATGCCTGCGCCTACGCCAGCACCAACGCCAGCTCCTTCACCAGCACCGACGTCAACCCCTACGCCAGCACCACCGCATGCGCCTAACAACACCAGGGCGCTGGTGAGCTGACCAGCTGACCCGTACGCGCAAGCATCAGCACCAAAGCTGGCGCTGTCGCCAGGGCCGACGCAAGCACCGACGCCAGCATCAAGGCCTACGCCCTCGCAGGCACCAGCGCCGGTGCATACAACAGCGCCGACGTCAGCCCCTCCGCCAACAACAATACCCCCGCCTACGCCGACACCGACCCCAGCGCACCGGAGAGCTGACCAATGGACCGGTGCACACCGGCGCCCGCACCAACGCCAGCGCCTCGCCAGCGCCGACGCCGGCACCGTCGCCACTTTCAACGCCTTCGCCTACGCCGGCACCAACGTCAGCGCCTCCGTAGGCGCAACGATGAGCCGAGGGGACGATGGGGACGAGCAGATGTCCAGCTCGACGGAGTTGAGCACTCCCACGGTGTCCATTACGACGGAGCTTAACACCTTGTTCGACGTGGCTGTCCTCGTCTTCAACTTCGCGGAATCTCTGATCAATATCTGACGCAGCGATCTCATTGTCCTGTCATAGGGGCCAGGCAGGCGGTGAGCTCTCTGAGCAGCCGGAGCTCTCCGCTTCACCTGGTCCTCTTCTCCCTCCCCTTTTTTTATTGGCTGCCATTCCAAGGGTGCGTCCACTCTGCCGCGTCCCGCCCCTACGTGGTAGGACTCGGGCCGGCCTTGCTGGGGTCACCCAGGCTGATATCTGATTGCACCGCTGGCGAATTCAGTTTCCTCCCTCCTCCCTTCTCCTTCCTCCTCCCCTCCTTCCTTCCTCCCTCTTTGTATTGCTCGTGCAAGGGTTACTGTGCGGGTGCCGTCTTCCTGGGTCGGCCCACGCACGCGCGAGTTTCTGTTAGGGCGTGTTCTCCCTCCTCCTCGTCCCCCCCCTCCTCCTCCGCGTCCGCGCTCCCTCCTCTACCTCCTCCTCCTCCTCCTTGGCATCTGTGTGCGAATCTCAGAATGTGTTGCCATTCGACGTTTAACCTTGTCGCGCCAGTCTTGGACACATGCCCGGGCAATGACTGTCACGAGTAGCACTTGCCTATCCCGGCCGCGTGGCCGATGCAGTCTCGCGATGCAGTCTCGCGGTGTCTCTTGCGCGCTGACACTTCGGGGGATATATATATATATATATATATAGCAGGAATGTTGAGGTAGTAGTGGGCGCAAGCTGTTTTAAAAGCTTTGACGCCGGTTTGGGCGCAAACTGCTCTAACAGTTTTAACGCCGGCTGTGTCGCAACTGCTTTGGCTGGAGTCATCGTGCTTTGCCAGAAAAAAACGATTCCTCCTGTAGAGGGACATGCCCGACTTATGATGGGCCTGTTTTCCACCACCATAGGGTGGAAGGAGGGAAGCATGTGGAGGAAGAGGAGGAGGAGGACGAAGAGGAGGAGGAGGAGGAGGACGAGGAGGAGGAGGAGGAGGAGGAGGAGGAGGAGGAGGAGAGGAGGAGGAGGAGCTTGGCTCGGCTTTCCTTTCCTCCGTCCTCCTCCTCCTCCTCCTCCCTGCTTCCCTGCTTCCGCCCCTGGGCCAGGGCCCCGTCCCCCGTCCCCCTCCCTGGCCCCTGGCCTGGCCGGCGTTCGCCTCTCGGGCGGGCCCACCTGCGCCCGGGTCCGTGGTGTTCTTCTGGTCCAGCCCCCTGGCCCCCTGGCCCTGGCCCCTGTGCCCGCCGGCCCATGCCCTTCCTCTTTGGGCCGAGTACCTACCGGCAGCGACCCAGCCCAAAGCGGGGCTGCCGTGGGTTCAAGCCCGCGCGGCGCTCCACCAGCGACCTCCTGGGGGGGCCGCTGGGCGACCCCTTCCCAGGGGGCTCTAGGTGCGGACCCCCCCGCTTCGGCGTCGGGCTCCAACAGAACAGCCCCCGGCCGCGGGGAAGGGCAGCATGCGGGCACAGCCCGCCGGCCTACGAGGGCCCGCGCCGCGCGGCCCGGCCGGGCGCGCGCCCCGACCTGGGGGTGGCGCCAAGCGGAGTGGAAGAAAGGAAGGAAGGAAGGAAGGAAGGAAGGAAGGAAGGAAGGAAGGAAGGAAGGAGGAGGAGGAGGAGGAGGAGGAGGAGGAGGAGGAGGAGGAGGAGGAGGAGGACCCCCTCCCCCTCCAACTTATGGTGGTGGTGGTGGTGGTGGTGGTGGTGGTGGTGGTGGTGGTGGTGATGGTGGTGGTGGAAAACAGGCCCATCAGATTTACGTAACATTAGCATGCGGATGTTGTGGCGCCACCAGAAGGGGGCACGCCGCCCTCTGGAGGGGCGCCGTTCGGCCCACCCACAGGCAAGGCTGGCTCGTGTCGTGCCGACGCAGCGGATACCCCAGACGTGTTCACGCCGTGCGTCAGAACAAAAATCTCCGGCGAGGCCCCGGGACCGTCAAGAAATGGCTCGGGATGAAGCATGCTGAAGAGCTGCGGGCTCCTCCTCCTCCTCCTCCTCCTCCTCGTTCTCCTCATCGTCGTGGTCCTCCTCCTCCTCCTCCTTGTCCGTCTCCTCCTCCTCCTTCTTCATCCTCCTCCTCCTCTTCCTCTCCATACACTCTCCTCCTCCTCCTCCTTCCTCCTCCTCCTCCTCCTCCTCCCTCTCCTCCTCCTCCTCTCCTCCTCCTCCACCTTCCTCCTCCTCCAGCCCTCTCCGCCCCCTCCTTCTGCCCCCCCCCCCCCCCGTCCCTGTTGCAGGCATGCAGATGCACTCCCGAGGCGGCTCCGGCCCGCCTTTCCGCGCGCCCGCCCGCCGCGCTCGCGAAGGGGGGGGGAGTGAGAGCCGAGGGAAGAAGGAGCGGCGAGCGAGACTCACGACGCACCGTTTTTCGTGGCCCGTTGTCGGCCTCTGGAGGGGCCCTCGCCGCGCCTCGGGACCGCAACAAAAACCCAAACCGGTTCGGGCGGATGAAGAGCCGACCCCAGGGAAAGGGCTGGATTTTCTGGGAACCCCGTGTTCAAATCATCTATGCGTCGCATGTCTGGGGAGGTGGTGGGCGAGTGAAGAGGAGGGCAGGGACGAGTGAGCGAGGGAGGAGCGAGCGAAGGAAGGGGTGGAGGGGGGGGCAGCGAGCGAGGGGGGAGAGAGCGAGGGGGGATGGAACGAGGGAGGAAGGGGGATGTCGCACCAGGCAGGAGGGATGTGGTGGGCTGCGGGCGTGGCATGGACGACTGGTGCCATGTCTGGTGCAGCCGCACTGCCGCATGGAAGCCGAGACCAGGCGGCCCGCCGAGGAGGCCAGGCGGCGCGCCCAGTGGCAGCGCACGCTCCGTGTCGCTCATGCGCTGCAGCCAGCTGTAGGATCGGCGGCGAGCCCAGGGGGGGATGTGAGAAGGGGCGGGCCTTTGTAGCCAGCTCGGAAGGCCGCCGGCCTCCCGAGGAGCTGCCTCCCCCCCCCAAAGGACGCGGCAGAAAGCCCCTCGAGAGGCGCGCGGGGGCTCCCGAGAAGCCCCGCCGCCTCCCGAGAAGGCCCAGCCGCCGGCTCTCATTCTCGCTTCTCTCCCCCTGCCTGCCCTCCTGCTCCTACTCCTCCTCCTACTCCTCCTCCTCCTCCTCCTCCTCCTCCTCCTCCTCCTCCTCCTCCTCCTCCTCCTCCTCCTCCTCCTCCTCCTCCTCCTCCTCCTCCTCCCCCCTCCTCCTCCTCCTTCTCCTCCTCCTGGCGCCCCGACTGGGTCGGGCCCCAGCGGAGGGGGCCCTCGCGAGCCCTCAGGGGCCCCCCAGAGCGTGCGCGGCGGGTCTCGGGCCTCGGGGGGGCGCTGGAGGGCCGCCGCCGCCGCCGCCGCCGTTGTGGGCCGCCGTCTTCGCCGCTCGCCGTCGACAGGAGGGAGGAGAGAGGAGCTGAAGTCGCGTGGGGCCGGGGCACCTTGCTCCCGGCGGAAGGCCCCAGCTCCCCGCGTGGCCGGCGGGCGGGAGGCAAGAGGGGCCGCGCGCGGGGGCAGCGCGGTGCAGCCCCTGCGCCCGGCGCGGAGCGGCCGGAGCCAGCGAGAGGAGGAGGCATCGGCACAGGCATAAGAAGCTCCTGGACATCCAGGGACACACAATTCAGGAGGGAAAGAAGCACACAGACACAATGAATCGTCGATTCCTCAGAAAAGATGGGAGAATATGGGAAGTGGGGGGGAAGACAGAAAGCCCGAAAATATATGAAAATATGGAGAATCCTTTTGTCTGTATTTATTTGTGTGCCTCAGGGCCCTTTCAATAATGGCATAAGCAAAGGCTGTCGGAGGCCCGCGCGGACTTCGTGGATCGGCGCGGGAGCCCCCTGGCGGCGCTTTTGGGTGCCGCCCTGGCGCGCTCCCCGCGCGCCTGGGAGGGGAGCCCAGCGCCGATCCAAGAATCCAGCGCGGACCTCCGAGGGTTTCTATTTACGCATGTGTTTTTTTTCTCGAGGGGGAGGAGGAGGAGAAGGAGGAGGAGGAGGAAAAGGAGGAGGAGGAGGAGGAGGAGGAGGAGGAGGAGGAGGAGGAGGCGGAGGAAAAGGAGGAGGGGGAGGAGGGTGGCCTGGTCGAAGAGGAAATCTGCATAAGCATGGACTCCAGAGGTGCGCGCGGCTCTGCGGTCGGGAGCTCTGGCTTCGAGAACTTGCTGCGGTACGACACGCTATCCACGTCCGTGGAAAAACAAGCATACACTGCGAAACACATACACAGCACACACAACATATACACAACACACACAACACACAATATACAACACACAACACCAACACACAACACCAACACACACACAACACACAACACACAACACACAACGCACAACACACACAAACACAGCACACACCGCGCAATCCATAACACACAACACACAACACAACACACACACACCACACAACACACAACACGCAACATGCAACACACAACACACAACACACAACACACAACACACAACACGCAACACAACACACGACACACAACACACAAACCACAGCACACAGCACACAACACACAACACACAGCACACAGCACACAACACAACACACAACACACACTCTTCATATTTGTTCTGGGCTAGAGCCGGGTCAACTCCGGGAACGAGCGCCCACGGGGGCATGGCCCATTGGCCGTCGGCGGCGCCCGCCTCCCAGATGCCGTCCACTGTCTCTGGGCCAGGCGCTGGAAGGACCTCCAGTAGTTACAGCACGTCGTAGGCTTCGAGCTCGTTGTAGTCGGCGGGGCCCTGGCAGGCGTCAATCTCGACGTGGGCGCCGGACTCGTCGTGGTTTTGATTTTGTCGTAGGAGCCGTGCTGAGTCGCAACCCCTACCACGATGTACCTGGTCTCCACGCGTTGTTCCGCGCGCGCGTCCTTCGTCATATCGGCCACCTGTACGCTCGGCTCGGTGCTATCGGACTGCAACCGTTGGCAGCGCTCCTCGTAGGCGCTCAGTAGCCTCGTGCAGGTTCGCCACCACGTCATAGTGGCTCTGGCAGGTGCCAGCTGTTGCGCAGCCGGCTCGGGAGCCTGCGACGCGGTGCGCCGCCAGCTCGAGCGCCTCGCAGCGCCGGCACCGCGCAGAGCGGCGGGCCGCTGGGGGGCCCCTCGCGGCGATGTCTGTCACGCACCGCGCGCTGCGCCGCGCGCTGGGCCGCCTAGCATTCGGGTGGCCCTACGAGGAGGAGGAGGAGGAGGAGGAGGAGGAGGAGGAGGAAGGAGGAGGAGGAGGAGGAGAGGAGGAGGAGGAGAGGAGGAGGAGGATGTAGGATGAGGAGGAGGAGGAGGAGGAGAGAGGAGGAGGAGGAGAGGGAGGCGGAGGATGAGGAAAGAGGAGGAGAGGAGGAGGAGGAAGGAGGAGGAGGAGGAGGGAGGAGGAGTAGGAGTAGGTAGGATGAGGAGGAGGAGGAGGAGGAGGAGGACAAAGGGGGCGGAGGAGTGTCCGCTCGCGGCCGCCTGGGCACCATCGCCCGCCGGTGGCCTCCCGGGCTGAGGCCAGCCCCGCTCGTGGCGCTCGCACGGCCGGGCGCGGCGCTGGGGCTGGTGGGGGAGCGCGCGTCGGGGCTCCCGGCGGGGGGGCGTCCGCGGGGAGGGCCCCCGATGGCCTTGCTCCTTGTCCTCCTCGTTCTCCTCCTCCTCCTCCTCCTCCTCCTCCTCCTCCTCCTCCTCCTCCTCCTCCGCCCCTCCCCCTCATCCTCCTCCTCCTCCTTTCTTCCGCCTCCACCTCCTCCTCCTCTTCTTCTTCCTCCTCCTCAATCTCGTTGTCCTCTTCCTCCTCCTCCTCCTCCTCCTCCTCCTCCTCCTCCTTTTCTTTCTCCTCCTCCTCCTCCTCCTTTTCCTCCTCCTCGACAGGGCCTCCCGCCCCCGTGCGCCGCGCCCGCAGCCCACGGCGGCCGCATGGGCCAGCGGGACGTGCAGGCACCCCCGCGCGCCGCGCCCCGACCTCCTCGGGCGGCCGGGCGCCGCCGCTGACCCTCCAGCTCGGCATCGCTCGGAGGAGGGGGAGGAGGAGGAGGAGGAGGAGGAGGAGGAGCAGGGGAAGGAGGAGGGGAGGGGAGGGGGAGGGGGAGGGATCCCAGGGCTCTCTCAGGGCCCTGAGACTCAGAAGGCGGCCCAGGACAAAGGACTGGGCCTGGGGGAGGGCCCCTGGGTCCAGGACCCGTTTTCATCAGGACCCCTTTGTTTCATGCTAGACGGTGGCATGCAGGAGGAGGAGGAGGAAGATAGGAGGGAGGAGGAGGAGGATGGAAGAGGAGAGGCGGAGGAGGAGGAGTAGGAGGAGGAGGAGGAGGAGGAGGAGGAGGATGAAGAACGTACACCTATACCACCGCTCGTCCTCGAGAGCCATCGCCGCCAAGGCTAGAAGGTCCTCGAGCTTCTGGTCAGGACGCACCACGCGAGAGGTTCAAAGGCTAGCGGTAGCAGCACTTCTTTGTCACCACCTCCTCCTCTTCCTCCTCGTTCTCCTCCTCCTCTTCTTCCTCCTCCTCCCCCCCCTCTTCTCCTCCTCCTCCTCCTAGTCCTCCTCCGCCTCCTCCTCCTCTTCCTCTTCCTCCTCCTCCTCTTCCTCCTCCTCCTCCTCCTCCTCTTGCCTGTCGTTCTCCTCTTCGTCCTCCTATTGCCCCTCGTCCACCGTGCAGGGTGGCTGTCGTGCCTCCGCCTCCCACGTCATCCTCTCGGCCCCTGGACGTGCCTCCTCACTCGGAACTGCGAGCATTGGACCCACGGATGGTGCCGCCCTTCCCATTTCCCCCTGGCGGCCTTCACCGTCGGGGGGTGGGGGGGGGGGCGGATAATAGACTGGGAGTTGCAGTGCAGAAACAGCGCCCAGGATGCAGAGGGAGACGACGACGTAACGGCGAGAGGATCCTCCTCCTTCTCCTCCTCCTCCTCCTCCTCCTCCTCCTCCTTCTCCTCCTCCTCCTTCTCCGTTGCTGGCGCTATTTCAGGGTCCTCCCTGCTTTGGAGGCGTGGGCGTGGAGCTAAAAAAGCATCCTCCTCCTCCTCCTCCTCCTCCTCCTCTTGCCCCATCGTCCTCTTCCTCCTCCTCCTCCTCCGCCTCTTGCCCCTTGTCCTCCTCGTCGTCCTCCTCTGGTCCAGCGTCCACCGCTCAGACTGGCCGCCGTGCCCCCGCCCACCAGTCACCAGTCTCGGCCCTTTGGACGGGCCTCCTCGAGCCAGCAGGCCTCCTGCCCCTCGTCCTCCTCGTCGTCCTCTTCCCCTTCGTCGTCTCGTCTCTCCTCCTCCTCGTCCTCGCCGTCCTCCTCCTCCTCGTCCTCCTCCACCTCCTCGCCCTCCTCCTCCTCCTCCTCGTCCTCGCCGTCCCCCTCCTCTTGACCCCCCCCTTCCTCGTCGTCTTCTTTTGTCTTCTCCACCTCGTCCTCGCCTCCCAGTCTGGTCCGCCTCCCGCTTTCCCCCCCTCTCCCCTGCTTGAGGGGCGGCGGAGGGCGGGGAGAGAGGGATAAAGGGCAGGACGAGGATCATCGGGATGACGGCGAGAATGCGGTGGTGGAGAGAAAGACGACCAAGAGGAAGAGGAGTACGAGGAAAGCAGGAGGAGAAGGAGGATGATAATGATGATGATGCTGCTGATGATGCTGCTGCTGCTGCTGATGATGATGATGATGATGATGATGAGGAGGAGGAGGAGGAGGAGGAGGAGGAGGAGGAGGAGGAGGGGTCAAGGCGCGGGGAAGAGCTGAAGGAGGAGGAGGAGGAAGAGGAGGAGGATGAGGCGGAGGAGGAGGCGGAGGAGGATGAGGATGCCGAGATGGGCGGGCGGAAGGATGGATACGAGGGGGTCGTGGGAGAGGGATCCCGGGGAAGGGAGCACCGGGAGGTCGGCGGGAGGGTGGAGACCTGCCCCCCACTTCCCCTCGGTTGGAGCGTCGGGGAGGCCCTCTCCCCGGCAGAGGCGGAGGTCGCTCGGGATGGAGTCCGATCGCAACCACTTCGGACCGATCGTCGACCACTTCGTCGCAGGCCTAGAGGTTGACACCAACACCAAGATCGGTGGTGTGCCTCCACCGAGGGAAGACGATCCCGATCTCGGTGATGGTGGCCATATTCTGGCTTCCAAGGTGACCGAAGTATTGCCACCAACACCGAAATCAGGATCAGAATTCCCATGTGGAGGCCCCCCCCTGTGCTGGTGTCGGTGCCAATTTCCAGGCCTCCGACTTCGGACTTAGCACAGCCAGTTGCGATCGGTCCGAAGTGGTTGCGATGTTTTTTTTGGTCGCTTCAATGCAGTAAGGTTTCGATTAAGGGGAGAGATCATAAGAGCGCTTCTGGGTGCACTGAACTCCCTTAAACCGCCCAATGGGAATCTGAAGAAGCGGTTGCGATCGGTCCGATCACCGATGGCCGATCATGATCTCAGCTAAACGCATGTACTTGAGCTCGAACGTGGCCATGATCCGTATACGATTCCTATGTGATTCGTATACGATTCCTATGCGATTCGTGTGCGGTTCCGATGTGATTCGTGTACGATGCCGATGTGATTCATATACGATTCCGATGTGATTCGTATACGGTTCCAATGTGACTCGTCTGAAGAATTCGCCAGAATCCTAAGAGGGTCTCTTCGGGAATCGTAAGAATGCCTACGGATCCCACCACTTCCCAGAATCCTGGGAGGGCCTCCCGGGGAATCCTAGGAACTCCCAGGGATCCTACCAGTTACCAGATTCCCGAGAAGGACCCCTAAGGAATTTGAGAAATTCTGGCGGATCTTACCACTTCCCAGATTCCTGAGAGGGCCTCTGAGGATCCCTGATTCCTGAGATCTCCACTCCTCGTCCTCTCCTCCCGTCTGCCTCGAGATGTCGCAGGCGCGTGCCAGTGAGCAGTGATGAAACGAGGCCACTCCACGGTCGTTGATCGTCACCCCGGCAACTTGGGCACGGTCACGGCGTCGTGTATTTGGAGGAAGGAGGACCGATGAAAAGAGGGAAGAGCAAGAGGAGGACGAGGAGGAGAAGGAGGAGGATAACGACGAGAGGGAGGATGGGCAGGAGGCGGAGATGAAGGCTCACGGCCGAGCTCCAGGTCGAAGCACTGCACAGGACAGCTGACAGTTTGGCCCGAGGGGCTGCGAATCGTGACCTCGACCACGCCTTGTCAACAGCTCGTCTGCCGCAGGGCCGCTGGCGCAGGGGCCCGGCGTCCGGGTGCGGGCAGCGAGCTCTTTCTTCTCTCCAGTGCTCTGGTGGTTCCCCTTCTCGTCGTCGAGCTGTCGGAGGGAGGCGAGGGAGGCTTTCGAGGGGAAAGAGCGGGGAAAGGGGGTGAGGCGATGCAGCTCATCGTCGTGTTCCTGCCCCCGCCTCGTCCTCCTCGCCCTCCTCCTCGATGGTCAGCACTGTCCGCTTGACCTTCCTCCTGCTGCTGCGCCTCCTCCTTACGTTCGTCCTCCAGCTCATCATCCTGCTCCCCCTGCTTTCCATCTGTTCCCCAAACAGTACTTGCACGTAGGGACTCTTACTTCTCCTTTGAGGGACTGGGCCTGTCTGCTGGTCTGGCGGCTATGTTGCCACCGTCGCCGCCCCGTCGCTGCCTCGTCGCAACCCGTCGTCTGGGCCTGTCTGCTGGTCTGGCGGCCATGTTGTCGCCGTCGCCACCCTGTCTGCTGGTCTGGCGGCTATGTTGCCGCCGTCGCCGCCCCGTCGCCGCCTCGTCGCCGCCCGTCGTCTGGTCCTGTCTGCCGGTCTGGCGGCTATGTTGCCGTCGTCGCCGCCCCGTCGCCGCCTCGTCGCCGCCCGTCGTCTGAGGAGGAGGAGGAGGAGGAGGACCGTTTTAATATGCGGCTCTTGCAGAGACCCTCAGCTCATTGCCCGAGCCGCGCAGTGTCTTGTGCAGCAGAGTCGCGGACGGGGGCTGCCCCTTTTTCAAACCAGGGACATCTCGCTGGACACCTCGTTGAATTGAATCCCGCGGCGGGGATCTATCCATAGCCACCGCCTGGGGGGTGGATTTTCGCGGACCTCCACAGGCGGTGGATGTGGACACACATATACGTGTGTATATATATACACATATATACACATATATATGCATATATATATATATATATATATATATATATATATATATATATATATATATATATATAGATATATACATATGTATGTATATATATATATATTCGGCCCCCCGGGGGCCAACATGTATCCCCATCCGCCGCCCGCTGGGGCACCGGGGCGTCGGTTCCGAGGCGGTGGATGTGGACAGATCCCCGCCTCGCGTGTGTGGCCATTGCCCTCTCGTGGTCACTGCTCTTTCGCGGCGCGGCGTGCGCCTGCACGGCAGGCCCCCTGGGCCGTTCGGTGCTGGTCTTTCCAGGGTTGAGTCGGGCCTGTCCCTCTACAGGAGGAATATTCCCAAACAGTCAACAAATAGCCTGGGGACTATTTTTGAGCATTATTTGGCCATTTGGGGGCATTTTTGGGGTATGTTTTTTTTTTTCGTCCAAAATCGGCCTGTAGGGGGATAGGCCCGACTTAATTCCAGGGGGGGGGCGCCAGGCGCTGCTGAGATGGAGGTCTGCAGGACCTCTGCCGATGCGGATTTGGGGCGGGAGGGCGCGTTGCAGCATCAGCAGGGTTTACTCTGGTCCTCCTCCTTCCCTCTTTTTCTATACATGGGCGATGCTGGAGACCCTGAACCCAACAGCGTTTTCATTTCTTGGGGCACATCTTCTGCCACTTCTGCCGCCTCCTCGCCGAGCTTCCGCCGGCTGCCGCCGGCGGAGGCGGCCTCGCTTGGCTTCCGCCGACCGCTCGCCGCCCTCCTGCCGCCCTCCGCCCCTCTCGGGAACGCCTCAAGCAGCTCCTCCCCTGTCGCAGCCCGAGGCCGGTCGGAAGGGCGGGCCGGGCGGTTCGCCGGAGACTTCCTGCTCCCGCTCTCCCCGCGCCGCTCTCGGGCGGCAGGAAGTGTTGCGTGTGGACTCCTGCTGAGTCGCGTTTGCGCCTCCTCGTTCGGGTCAGGGGCGTGTCGCTCGCGGGCGTGGAGGTTTTGTGGCTACTTCCGTCGACCTGCTTCACCGGAACAGGCTGGCCCTGAAGCTGAGCACTTGGCAACAGCTCTACAGACGGAGGGCGAGTGCTTCTTTTTCGCCCTGGCGCCGCGCACGTTCGTCTTCAACGTCTGCATGCTATGCACGTATTGGGGGCGAGAGGTTTTCAAAATGTGGCTCTCGCTTAAGCGCCGCGTGCAGCCTCACCGAACAGATGCAAGGGCTTCACGGATCGAGAGCGGGCCGTTGTCAAAATGTGGATCTCGCTTCAGCGCTGCGCAAAGGTGTTTGTGAAAAATAGCAAAACCACAACGTGTAAGAGCTTCACGGGTTGAGGGTTGCTCTTTTTCAAAATGTGGTTTTGGCTTCAGCGCCGCGCACAATCGTTCTAACACGTTGCAGGAGTGTCATGGGCTCCCACGCTTAGCGGACCAGTTCTGTTTGTTGCACGGTTCAGGGTGGTCAGGGCGAAACAGTTACACTGAGTTGCGGTGCCGAAGTTCGCGGGATGATGTTCTGGCGCGATTCCGAACCGTCGAAACGCAACAGCCAGGTTGATTCGTGGCGCTGAAGTCCCGAGAACCAACGGGGCACTTCTTTCAGTGCACATGAACCCGTGCAGGGGCCTACGAAGAGGAAGCGTGGAGGGAGTTTTTTTTTCTTATCTAACATCGTTAAATGAGTCTTGGGTTTACACTGGTCGTCCTTCTCCTCACCTCCTCCTCCTCCTCCTCCTCCTGCCTGTCACCCCTTCGGAGGTCGTTTGCGTCATCCGCTTGTGAGCCCCTGGTCTTTTCGTTTTCCTCCTCTGCCCTTGTCCCG